CCCAGGAGAGCAGGAAGTAGGGAGGAAAAGGGGAGCCAGCAGCTGCCACCAGGCTGCCGTGGATGTGGGAGTGACGTCCTTGGAATCTGTAAATGGCAAGCACTTCATCCGGACTGTGCCTGGTCTTGATAGAGAGGACACTTTGGGGGTTTCTGTTTGAGGTACTTTAGGGAAAGAAATCGAGCTCCGCCAGTAGAAACTGGGTCCCCGGAGGAGGAACCAGCTGCAGATCCATGTGGAGAAAACCAAAGGTCCCGGATGTATTTCTCTCCGCTCTCCCGCTCATCAGCAAAATGAACCAGAAGAGGGGAAGCCAGGCAGTCTCAAGTCCCTCCGCTTCAGGGACTGGGTCCTGCCTGCCATCCCCCACAGGGAATAGCACCGAGGGCCACCAGCCAGGTAGCCAGGTGGAAGGCTTCAGGACTCCCAGTGATCGCAGAAGCTTGGAGAGGGCTGGGGGCTGACGTGTAGCTCCGTGACAGCGCGCTGGCCTGGTATGCCCGAGGGCCTGGCCGTGAATAAACAATCGGATGGGATGGTTCAATGGTTACAGATGCTTTCCTCCAAGTCTAATGACCTGAGTTCAATCCCTGTGGACTCACATGGTAGAAGGGGAGACCTGATCCCTGCAGGTGGTTCTCTGACCTCTTCCGAAGTGCACCGGGGTGTGTGTGTGTGTGTGTGTGTGCGCGCGCGCGCACGCGCGCGCACACATGCATGCGCATGTGCACACACAAATAAATATGTAGTCATCTAGCCCAGCCTTCCCATTGTGCAGAGGGTACCATAGACAAGTCCTACCTCGCCCGTCCCTCTCTGTCCCCACGCAGCAATGTCCCTGGCCCAGGTTGCCGTCACTGAATGGGACTGGGGGTTCTCGGGGATGCCATGTTGGAAGAGAGGAAGGGCCAAGACAGGAATAGCTGTGGGCTGCTACCCTCTGGGGCCTGTAGATTTTCACTCGAACTCTCTGGCATCGGGAGGGCTTAAGACTGTTTCAAATTATCTGTGAATAAATTTCCCTTTGGATTGTCAGGCAGCAGAAGTGGAAGAAGTCTCTGGAGCCAGCGCAGCCCTCCAAGAAAATGGCTGCCAGAAGCCGGGGACTTGGCTCTGGGCGGCGTGTTCACGGCCAAGGCCTCTGCTTGGACATCTGAAATGGGGGGGTCTAATAGCAACCAGGTTGGCCAGGAGGTGACCCAAACAGCATCCCCCACCCTCTAAGCCCAAGCAGACGTCTCTTTGTCACAGGATGAGCCCTGAACATGAACTCTCTAACATGGTAGGCCACATCCTGCCGTGAGGAGGGAGAGGCTCCATCCCCCTGAGGAGAAACACATTGTTGAAAAAGATTTACCACAGGAAATGGAGGTAAATTGCAGAAAGCTGTCTTGTGTTCACGGTAAACCTCAAGGAAATATGATCTGAAAATGAGACAAAAATTAGTCGTGGAGGCTTCGGACGGAGGCGAGAAAATGGGGTGGGGGTGGGGAGGAGAACCAGACCACAGCTCGAAGGAGCTTGGGGAGCCCAGAGAGGCCAGCAGGACGTGAAGACAGAGGCCCAAAGGGAAGCAAGTATCGAAAATACAGAAAATGGAAGGGCGCTGTGGGGACCCAAGCTTCGATGTGGGTTGTGGGAGGGCCCTATTGTGTGCTGGCCAAGAATCAAACATCTGCTTGACCACACTCACAGGGGGGCGGTTCACGGCTCTATCTCCTCAGGGTCAGAGGCCATGGCTCCGTCTTGACCTTTCTGAGGTCAGTCTTAGGGAATGGGATGACTGGGCTTGTCACCTTGACGAATGGAGAAGACGGGTGACCCGGTGTTAGGCGAGGGAGGGGGCATCTCCAGAGAGACTGACATGGGAAGACTCCCTCAGAGCCTTTCAAGAGGCTGGTGCCCAGGGATGGAAGGAGTCAGAGGGAGGCAGTGTGCCCACGTCCAAGCCCCTCTCCGAGGCATTCGTTTATGGCTGATGTCGGCTGATTTCAGACTCCAACTTCCCGGGCATTTTAAGGTAGACTTGGTCGCAGTGACCCTCCAGGGAACTCTAGGTCTTCAGTGCTGGGCTGAGACTCCATGGAGTGAGCAGCTAAGGTTGCCCCAGTCTTTCTAGGATGAAGACAGGACATCAAGGCACCAGGAATGTAGAACAGCTAGCCACACCCACAGCCCAGAGCAGAGAGACGTGTGTGCATACAGCTAGCTTTCTATGCTCTTACACAGTGCAAGACCCAAACCGAGGGAATGGCGCTGCCCTCGGAGGGCTGAGGCTTCTAACGTTGACAATGAAAGCTAACCATCACAGTTTCTCTCTCTCCCTCTCTCTCTCTCTCTCTCTCTCTCTCTCT